TCCACGCGCTCGAGCAGCAGAGAGACTTCGCCGTCAGAGACCGGTATACACACACACACACACACACAGCACACACACACACACACACACACACACACACACACTCGCTCTAGAGCTCTGTATGGGGGAGAGTGTAGCGGTCATTAAGCCCCGCCTTCTAGACCAGCAGCCAATCAGTGATCACTATAGCCTGATGATGCTGTGGGGGAGGGGCTCGGTGCAGACGTGTGTTCAGGACAGTGCGTGCTGCTTCATTATGTTGTGTGTGTGTGTGTGTGTGTGTGTGTGTGTGTGTGTGTGTGTGTGACTGAGTCTGATCTTCACTGTATCTGACCTCAGACCTTCCTCTTCCTCACTCTTCATCTCTCAGTGTCTTCATTCTGTGCGTCTGCATGCTCACTCGCGCTCATTTCTTCACTGGTGTGTAGGTGTAATCTGGCGTCTCTGCTCACCATCGCCCTCCATGGTAAACTGGAGTACTACACCAGCATCATGAAGGATCTGCTGGTGGATCTGATCGACGCCTCGGCCACCAAGAACCCCAAACTGATGCTGCGGCGCACCGAGAGCGTGGTCGAGAAGATGCTCACCAACTGGATGTCCATCTGCATGTACAGCTACCTGAAGGTCTGTGTGTGTGTGTGCGTGTGTGAGGGAGAGTGTGCTTGCGCATGTGTGAGTGTGTGTATATTTGTTAGTGTCTGTGGTGCAAAAGTGTGTGTGTGTGTGTGTGCTAGAGTGTGTGTTGCGAAATTGTGTATATGTTTGTGTGTCTGTGTCTTGTATGTCTGCTGTTGTGTCCATAAGTGTGTTAATAAGTGTGTGTGTGTGTGTGTGTGTCCATCAGGAGACAGTGGGCGAGCCGTTCTTCCTGCTCCTGTGTGCCATCAAACAGCAGATCAACAAGGGCTCCATCGACGTGCTGACGGGGAAAGCGCGATACACCCTCAACGAGGAGTGGCTTCTGCGCGAAAACATCGAAGCCAAACCACAGGTGAGCCGCGGGTCACACACACACACACACACACACACACACACACTGTGGATGTACAGTATAGGGTGTGGTGTTACTCAGAGCGCCCCCTAGTGGAGTAACACTGAATGCTCCAATCATGTTGAAACTGTAATGACGTAACGCAGCCCTGTACTGAATCACATGACCCCTGCAATTACTGTGTGTGTGTATGTGTGTGTGTGTGTGTGTGTGTGTGTGTGTGTGTGTGTGTGTGTGTGTGTGTGTGTGTGTGTGTGTGTGTGTGTGTGTGTGTGTGTGTGTGTGTGTGTGTGTGTGTGTGGGGGCAGAATGTGATGGTGTCGTTCCAAGGCCTGGGCATGGACTCGGTGTG